AGTTTTTCCACCTGAATGATAATGGCCTCTTGGGAGCGCATGATGCTCTCGTGCTCAACCCCTAATATATAAATATTGTGGGTCTCTCTATATGCCGTGCTGTCTTGTCAAGGTATGGTTATTAGGTTGCCGGGGGATTGCCATGATGTTCATACCGGGTTTGCTACGGAAGTAAAATTTTGCTTCTCTTGGGAGTAGTCAGAACTTGATCATAGCCGAATATGGGCTGCTTCATTCTATGTCTAGATCTACAGCAAGAGTTGACCGCTAAATTGTCCATCTCCACGATATCACCCCAATAAGGCCAACCCAGAGCTTCCCATCCCAATCCAACCATCAAACCTCCCATTCACGCCCTTCCCTTAGTCTTCCCCTTCGCACTGCTCGGACTCTCCCCCACCCTCCCCAACCTCGCCAAAAACTCCTCCCCCCTACTCCCCCACCACTCCTTCAACCTGGCCACATACTCCTCCTCGCCCTCCCCAATCTCGACCGGCGGGCCGCGACATTCCGTGACGCGATCCCGCTTAAACACAGCCCAACTACTACTATCCTCGCTGCGGAGCGCAAACCCCTTATCCTTCTCCGCCTTGACCGAGAAATTACGCAGGAGTACGCCGTCCCCGACCTCTACGTCAGGGAGAGCTTCTTTGTAGGGCCGGAAAACTTGGATCTCTACGACGCCGGTGGGTGCTATGGAGGGGTCGGTGACGTTGAAGCGGAGGTGGTAGTGTCGCGGGCCGTGTTTGGCGCGCTGAGCTTCAGGGGGCGCGGTGGTGGCGATGGCGAGGACGTCGAGGCGTTTGCCTAGGTTGTGGCGGAGGACTTTTAGGGGTGTGAAGTCGCTGAGGTTGGTGCGGAGGGCTTTGGTGAGGCTGGCGCGGAGGGCGGTTTCGGAGAGGGGTTGTGTGGAGGGTTTTTGGGGGGTGGTGGGCAGTTGTTTGGAGGGCGGTATGAGGTCTTTGGTGGCGGTTGGTAGGATGGTGGCGGGGACTTTAGGCGTTGCTGGGGCTTCGACGCGATCTTGAGATCGGGTGATGCGCGTGCCGGGAGGCGATGTTGATGGTTTTGATCGAAGGTTGTGTTTTGGAGTCTGTGGTGATGGTGGGGGCTTTTCTGAGGGGCTGAGAGCCTTCGATACAGGATGAGCATCGCGGTCCTTCCGTGTGCTCGGTGCGCCCGTCACCAACGACGGGGATCGATCTGTTTGCGTTACGGGAGAAGTGGCTGACCTAAGGCTCATCTTCTTATCCGTCGTTGGCGTGGCTGGAGGCTGGAGAGTTTCCGTTGTCGCCTTCGCTGATCTGGTGACTCGTTTCGTGGCTTCGACGAGCTTCTCCTTTATCGGCTCTGTGGCTTCGACGCTGTCGTGTACGACTTCATCCGTCACGACTTTTTCAGTTGTGGCGTCGTTTTGCGGTTGCTTTTCAGTCGAGGTCGTGAATGATGCATCTTGTGGAATCGTAGAGGATACTTGAGTGGCATCAGGTGTCATCAATTGCGCGTTTATTAGTTCAATATCGTCGTCAACATCTTCTTCTTGCTGGGGCTCGTCAGGCAATGTCTTTTGCGCTTCGATAGCGCTGCTTTCGTCCCGAGGCAATGAAGGATAAGTTACTTCGGCAATTGAAGCACTCTCTCTGACTACCGCTGGAGACGTGTCTTTTTGTTGAGGTTCCTCCTCAAGCTGTTCCTCCTCGAGTTGTTCCTCCTGGAGATTCTCATCCTCGAGTTGGTCATCCTCAAGCTGCTTAGCCTGAAGCAGCTCATCCAGATTTGCTCGAACGTTGGCAACTTCAGGTTCTTCAACTTCCTGGTCAAGTTCCATCTCGACTGGCTGTAGCTGTGCAATCATGTTTTCGGTGACTTCTTCTTCGGCTACCTCGACCTGGACTTCTTCAGGTGCGGGGGAGGTAGGCGTTTTCTCCTTTGGGGCCTTCGACTCTGTAGGTACATCGTTTGCACCGTCCATGAAACGCTGTTCCACAAGGCCTTCCATAGTATCGTCTTCGTCTTCATAGCCGCCAACCTCCTCCACCATTGACAAGTTTGCGTTGTCAAGTTTAGGCTGGTCTAGCTGGAGAGTGGCAGCTGGCACTTGCTGCATCTCTACCTCATTCTGCATTTCTGTGGCTGGTGGGGTACCAGGTTGCCATACTTCCGTAGCGCCGCTTAGTTCTTCTTCTTCCTCTAACTCAGGGCCTTCAGGGCCTTCGGACTCCTCAGATTCCTCGCTTTCTTCATCGCCTGGATGCCCGATGGCCATTTCCTCTTCCTCCGACTCTTCCTCGAAATCTGCTTCTGCATCTTCACCGAGTTCTTCGTCTTCCATTACATTATCTTGTACATTGTCCTCTACATCCGCAAAAGAGGAGTCTTTATGAATAAGGGGCGGCTTGGGTGAAGGCTTCGGCTGTTCCTCCTCATCATCCGATGATAGAAGATCTATAAATACTGGCTCGGACTTCGCTGCGGGTTGCTGTTGTTGCTGATGAACAGGGCCTAAATCCTCTTCGCTCATCTCTTCGTCTTCGTAGCACGCTTCGCCGTCTTCATCAAACTCCTCATCTTCTTCGAATTCTTCGCCTTCCTGCGCATATAGCGCTTCTTCTTCACTGTTCATCTCGCTACCCTCGTCATCGTCTGAGAACTCTTGTTCTTCGGATGGATGAGCTTGCTCGTCGAGCTCGCTTTCGTCTTCCTCCTTACTGTATCTCTGATCGGCGGCCACACCGTCTTGTTCGTCAGGAAACTGTTGCTGGCGATAATATTGCTCGGGAGCTTGTCTGGACCCTATTTCGATTTCCTCGCCAGACTCGTCTCCTTCCATTTCCTCATCAGAGCCAATTTGACGGCGGTCCAGTTCTCCATCACCTTCCTCACTTTCTTCCTCGCTTTCTTCTTCATCTTTTTCGCCTTCATTAATCGTGACTACCTGACCGAGTTCATCTAAACGGTATTTCGGTGTGCTAGGTTGGCTATATCGTGGCGCAGATGCCTCTCTGCTCGCGGCATTCGGAATCTCGAAGGTACTAGGAGCAGTTTCTCCAGGGACGTGAGTCAAGGACTCCCATGCTGGTTGGGCAGGTGTTTCCATGGAAACATCTGGCAGTTCCGGATAGAAAGATTGGGCAGCTTGGGCGAATTGCGAGGCGGTAGAATCCCTAGCCTCTTCAGGGACTTCATTTAGGTGTTCACCATAATGGTCACCGACCTCGAGAGGAAGGCCGTGGTGTAACTGTATTGGCTGATCCGGCGGATACGGCGCTTGGAAGAGGCCGTTCCTTTGGTCTTCTTGATAGTTTTCAAACATGGGCGCTGTAGGTGGAATCTGTGGGCTGTGAGACCTGGGCTGCTCGAAGGGAAGACTAGGCCTCAGATTCATGTCGGGCACAGATCCGTTCGAGAATCCCATATCCCGGAATATTGATTCCGGCCATTGTGCGGTGGCTCCATTTGGCTCCATTGCTTGTGATGATGGCTGCCCATGCCCAGCCGGGAAGGCGTCAAATGGTGGAATCGGTGGTCTACCTTGGTCCTCTGCAAATTCCATCCGTGTGTCTTCTAGAACTGTAGGTACCGGTGGTCTTGCCTCCCTACCAGCAGCTTGAGACTGTCTGAAAAACTCCTGCATCTCTTCGCTGTATTCCAGGCCGTCTGTCTGGCAGCCTTCGTCCGTCATTGTAGGCTTCACCTTTTCAGGGACCGGTTCCTCCACCACTGGTTCTTCGGCCTCGACCTCTTCCTCTGGACTCGGGGAACGGCTAATATATCTCCAATCCCCTGACTTTCGGCCAAACCTCGACCGTTTTCTGCCTTTTCCTTGGATAGAGCCATCATCTTCTATGAATGCCTCAAAATCCTTCCCAATAAAGGAGCCATATGACAGCCGAGCGCGCTTTATGAATGCCGGCGATGACCACTCGCCAGTCTCCTCCGCACGCAGCTGGTCATGGCGTGCTGTCCGAATTGGGCTTCCTGGTGGGGGCGACGGGTTTTCGAGTGGCGTCTCGATTTCAGCGACTCGGTCTGGTTCGGGCTCTTGCAGAGAATTGTCGAGATTAAGCAGGGCAATATTTCCGCTTTCGCACTTCCGAATCTGAGAAGTCGCTGCGATTAGTACGGGGTCATGTTTGGTGGCAGCATCCATCTTACCTGAAGCACCAGCCGCTCCGCAAACTTCAGCTCCCACTCGATACCCCTCCCAGGCGTTTGCGCAGCACTCGCGCTCTCAGGTATCCATTCAGCCCCATTCAACGAGACGACCAACTCATCTCCACTCCCTATCCCCGCATCAAAAACATGCTTCGCGCACGATCCCGCGAACTGGACCTTGACCTGGCCTCTGCTTTGGCGCAAACGAAAGTCCGGTTCTGCCAAAAGCACGGAAAGCGTCTTGTTCGAGGAGCTGTAGGGCCATATGAGCGTTACTACTGCTTTGAAGTAGCAGGACGGGAGGTTTGGAAGGGTGGGCTCGAGCTTGGCGATTGCGACCTGCTCAGTCGCGTCGGCGTGGCCGTCCATGGCGCGGCAAGGTATCCGTCAGTACTAGATTTATCGGTGACTTTTGTACCATCGCTGCTTTACGGAAGCTGTGGCATAGCTTTTCGAGTAGTTCCGAGGGTGTAATTAATTCGTAAGATGGCGCTGTGGCGAGTAGTTGTCTTGTATGGAGAAAAGAGCTGATACCCGCCAGGGCCGTGGGACGTGATGGAGATGTATTGACGCTAGGCGGTGTGGGCAGTTCTGGCAGAATATAACATGGTATGGAACTGAACATCACGAAACATCCTTACACAGTTACCAGCTACTTTAATATAATCTTAGAAATATATTCTATAACGAGTGCTGACTCTCTATACAACTATACATATTTGTTATTTACATCCTCGTACCTTCCTTGTCTATTCCCGTTACGTGACAATCGCACTTTCCTTATTAGGTACCCTACCGGTCACACTTGCATAATTCCGGATAATCCGTACCTTCCAATTCAAAACGGGCGCTTGGTCTAGGGGTATGATTTCCCCTTCGCATAGCATGTGATTCATCACATAATATCATCTGGGGAAGGTCGTGGGTTCAATTCCCACAGTGTCCAATATTTTTTGTTCTTTTATGTTCTTTTTGATCATCGTAAGTGAAAAAAATGGACGCTGTGGGAATTGAACCCACGACGAGCGGCTGGTTGCTATTTAGATGTCGTCGTGGTAGGTTAAATTCCCACGATAGCCATTTTATTTCATTTTTGGCAACCGAAGCGTTAAGGGCTCCAAGAAGGAAAGTGCAACCCGGCAAGTTCTTATTTTTGGAAAAGCATAAATAAATATATTGCTGATGGCAAATAATATTCGGGATATTCTAGAATAAATTCCATCCAAAACGAAATACAACATTACTCTGGCCGGAGGGAATATACTACGATCGAAAACGAGCAGTCAATAAATCATTTTTGAAAGGACTAATCTTTTTTTGTTTCTTATTATTTACATTGCCGTACTTTTCTTACTGTCAGCACTATTCGTGTTGTCGGTAGAGTCCTGTTGTCGACAGAATCCTGTTGTCGACAGAATCCTGTTGTCGACAGAATCCTGTTGTCGAAAAAAGTCATATAGTCGACAGAATCCTGCCCATCCGCACCACCATTTGAGATGCACCCAATGGCTTGGTTTGCCTGTCCGTTGTTGATTGGACTGTCAAAGTTGATACTGTGGTGACACATTGACTGCAGGTTTAGTTCAACATGAGCAGTAGCAAACATCTAAGAGCCCAAATATCTCGTTGCATCTATGCAACCCTATCTCTATAAAATCCACCGCATGAATTCATACCCCCAACCCCCCCGCAGCCCAAGGCAACATCATTAAATCCCTCCCCCCATCCGCACCGCGAATCTACCCTCACAACCACACCATCCCCCACGCAACCACCCCCGCCCCAAGCGCCCACGCCACCGCCCACGCCGGCACAACACCCATCTGCGTCCCCGCACCAGGGCGGTCTCCCCCGCCCAAACCCGGAGCCCCAATCCCCGGCAAAACAGGCGCATCATTCTGATCGGTGCTGTCGTCCTGGAAATCAGTGGCTGACGGATCGCTGGTGGTCCGAGCGGGGCTGGAGTTCAGCGCCGTGGTCGCCCGTGCTGGGGTTGTGAACTCGTACTCTTCGACGGAACTGCTCATGCTGCTGAGTCGGCTGGAGGCGGTGCGGGAGTTGGCTGCGTAGACGGAGAGGGTGGTTGTGGTCGTTGTGTAGGTGGAGGTGAGGGTTGTCTCCCTGATGTAGGTATAGAAGTAGTAGTAGTACGAGCTAAGAGCGGTTAGAGACCCGAGACAAGAAGTGGATGAGGAGGGCTCACAAGTAGAGAGTCGTGTAATAGTATCGGTAGACAACATCCGTCGTCTTCGGGGCAGCTGTCGCGCTCGTTGGCGTATCCGACGTCCTGGTGATCGTCGAGCCGGATTTCACATATGCCGTGCAGGCGGAATCCGTGCAACATTCGTCCCAGCCGTACTTCTGATTCGCGACGCATATGTTCCCCGGGCTACACGCTGTCCCGTCAGAGCAGCATATATTGGCTTCGTCTGTGCAGCTGTCGCCGCAGCACTTATCGCCGGACTTGCAGTATGTGTTATCGGGACAGCAGACACCACCAACCGACTTGCAATCACAGGTGTCGCCACAGATATAGGGATAGGGGCAAGTCCCATCAGAGCAACAGTCGTCGGCCGAGGACTTCTTGCAGTATGCATTGTTTGAGCAACAGCGGTCGGTTGTAGGACAACAGTACCCATCTGCAAAGAAGTTAGATTCGCGGCCTCATGAGAAGCTAGGTGACTTACCCCCGCATGAAGCCTTGTAGGTACCCGTGCACTCGCGCTTCTGGAGGGCAACTGGGTTCATCCACTCGGCGACCAGAGCACGTCCGCCGAGAGCGACTGCGCTGATGGTTGACCGGTTAAACCTATTGCTGTCCTTCATAACTGCCTTTCCTGGCCCAAGGGCATTGTCACGGGCCGCAATGTCTGCGGAGCTGGCAATACCACGGTCATGGTCTTGAGCAACGGCGTTGGCGGGCCTTGTATCGCTGTTGCATCTTGCGACTTGCAAGATTAGCAAGGCTGTAGCGCCTATCAGGCGTAAACTACGCATCTTGAGCTTCAAGTGTAGTAAAAGTGAGAGGAAAATGGAATATCAGTCCTCGAAAAGACGGTGCAAAGACAGTAGAAACCGAGTCCATATATGGCCTCAGATGCATATATTTCAACTTGAATTGATCTCAGCTTCCCACGGAAACCTCGGTCTAGATATGGATGCGAGCTCATTTCTCCTCACCAGCTTAGTGAACCTTCATAGTCTTGGCCAAAGGTATCATTGGCGCGTCTGGGATGGCCACCTTGATGGGCCCGGTGTGACTTTTGATAATATAGGAAAGTTGTGGATGCTAAACGCCACCATGCAGGTCGATGGCACTATCAGATTGATAAATGCGAGAAAATCGGCACATCATACCTCCGGTCTTACATTGTGAGCGAGCTAGAGCCTCATTCGGCGGCTATTTTGAGTGCCTCAAGGCGTTCTTCATACGCGACCTTGATCCTTCATACGGTGTTTCCCCTCTTTTAGTGTTGGCATTTGGCAAGGGTGAGCTTTGTCTGGTCACTAGAAGCGAACGTGGTCTTGGCCAGATGTGCACGGGTATCGTGTCGGCGTACCGGAATGATGTTCTCCGTTCTGTCATTTGTTTGTCAGGGAGGTCAAGTTCACGACCGCACATAGGCAAGGCAGACCATCAGAAATCTTGTAGTATTTGGCACCAGGCCTTTGGTATTGGGAGAAAGAAATAAAAAAGTCGCTCGCCGCAACCCTTTCGCCAGGGCCAAGGAACCGGCCCAATGCTCAGCCCCGAATATCTCCAAAGCCTACCCCCAATTCCGGGTGCCATGTCATGGGAACGGTGAGCTTCTTGGAGCTATTTCAACTAGACAGCCTTGCATGTATGGCGAGTCAACGTAGAGTCCACATTGTAAGCACGTGGTGCTACCTCGTAAACAGGTCAGGATCATGTCCGTAGCTGCGAGATGGGAGAATACTCCGTGCACAGGACGTCAAAACGGTGTCGTGGTGCATATGCTATTGCCCTACATGACAACTCACATTGTCAGCCTCTGGCTGCTCAGATATGTACATAGAACGCAGCTTCGTGGCCAAGGGGATCAATCAGACAATGCCGTTGACCTCATGCTCAACCAGAATCGACAAGCACATCACATGGTGAGCAAGCAAATCAGAGCGGCTGAGCTGTGTAGGTTTACCAGAGGTATATCTTTCGTCATATGAAGCTATAGCAATATGGCTACTGGGAGAAACACGGTTGGCGAAGACACAGACGTACCACCAATAACGGGACTCTATCCCCAGGACTCTATCACCAGAAGAAAAGCTGCCTCCGTCCTGTCTGCTTCCGACTTCGAAGCAGCTCAACAGCTCTACAGCTCAACAAAGCCTGTATATAAAGAAAAGAGTGTCCCATGTTTCAGGTCATCATCGCATCATGGAGCCTCCCGAAGGGGCCCTCGTGACAATGGTTTTAGAAATGGGTTCTAAGGGTCTTCTCGACACACGGAACGAAATTCGCAGCTGAGTAGAGTAAACATGTCGAGCTTTGAATGGTTTTTATACGTTGGTGGTCTTGTTTTGTTAAAGAGAAGAAAAGAAAAAGAGAAGCGACGAACAAAAGTTCCGTTTTCTAGCAAAGTCTTGGCGGAACACAGTTTAGTGGAGTCGCGGAGTCCTGCAAGCGATACGGCGCTTGCCATTTCTCGAACCAAACTGGCACTACGCCATGCTAAGTTAAGAGACGAAAGAGGCATATCAAATAAATGCTTTCACAAACACAACTCACACGATTATACGAATATTGATACCGCACATCGAATCTTCAAATACCACATACCGAATACAGCTATCCCTTCACTGCAAACCCCCTACGACACTCTCAAAATCGACTTTGAACAAAGGTGCAACATTGGAACATCGCCCCATCTTCCTATCTAGCCTTTCGACTCTCTGTGACGCCTTTGGATTCCAGAATCCAAAGCTCGATATACCACCAACTTGCCCCCCAGCCGTCCCCCATCGGTACTAATGGATAATTTATGGACTCGCCGGACCAAGTAAGCCTCTCTATCGTTGGTGAGTCGTGGTTACAGCTGTTAATGTGCGTCAACAGTAGCAAGCTTTCTCTTTCAACACCGGCAGCCCCTCCCGCCACCACAGCAGGCCACAACGATCACCCAACCCGCAACTACACACCGGGGAAGAAGTTTGGCGGTGATACCTCGTCACATGGGAAATCGAATCCCTTCAACGCCATCCCGCTGGCGTCACCTGCCGTTTCGTCGCCAACTGCGGGCGCATCCAGCGCCTTCGGTTTAGGCTCTGGCGCATTTGCCTCCTTTGGCGCATCCGCAAAGACGCCAAAAACACCAGGCAGCGCTTTAGATTTTGGAAATGTCGTGAGCGGGGCACCGACACCTTCTGGTGAGAAGGGACCGGCAGACCCTGGCCTCACGCGATCAGGTACGAACGCCTCTAGCGCATCGCTGAGCGAGGCCAAACACCTCCAACCTTCGGCGCACACTCTGAAGCACGGCTGGGTGTTTTGGTTCCGTCCGCCGATCCAAAAATCGAATGGCTACCTGGAGTATGAGAAAACTCTGCATGCCATGGCAGCATTCGACTCTGTCGAAGACTTTTTCGCGATTTACAAACACCTCAAACGCCCCTCTACTTTGCCACTGGTCTCCGACTACCACATATTCAAGAACGGCATCAGGCCGGTGTGGGAAGATGAAGAGAACAAGAAGGGTGGGAAGTGGATTGTACGACTGAAGAAGGGTGTGGCGGATCGATACTGGGAGGATTTACTATTTGCTATCATTGGCGACCAGTTTGCTGAAGCCAGTGAGGAAGTGTGCGGAGCCGTCTTGAGCGTCAGAAATGGCGAAGATATTCTCAGTATCTGGACTCGTAATGACGGCGGCCGCGTCCTCAAAGTCAGGTATGTCGCATTCTCGAACTCTTTTGTTGTGGCCCCAC